GAGAGAGAGAGAGAGAGAGAGAGAGAGAGAGAGAGAGAGAGAGAGAGAGAGAGAGAAAGAGAGAGAGAGGAGACGCGACAGGAAGACAGTGAGAACGCACAGTCAATGAGCCACGCAACGCGAGGAAAAGTGCGGATGTGCGGTCTTCGGATCGCGAACTCGCCGGCGACGAATTGCTGCCACTAGGAAACGCGGGCGTTTCGATCCGCAGGTCTAAACTCGATCGACGAGGCGACGTGTATTTCGGGGAGATCGGATCCTACGGAGAGTAATTTTCGGGGGTGTACCTATCGAGGAGGGATTATCGGGCGCAACGCGTCGGATAGTAAAGCGAGGTCCGGCGAATAATGAACTTCCCGGATCTCGTTGCAGAGAGTTACCAAGTGTGTGAAGACGGAGAGGATCAGCTGCGGGACTCTGTACAGTGAGTGTGAGCCAACCGTGTGGCCCGTGTAACAGTCTCTTCCTCTCTCTCTCTCTCTCTTTCTCTCTCCCTTTCTTCCTCCCTTTCTCTCTCTCTCTCTCTCTCTCTCTCTTTGCTTCATTAATTTTCGCGCATACACGGTGACGAAACAGCCGACGGAAACCAGTCGCGCGCTATCAATCCCCGGACGACTCGAGTCGCACGGAGCAGGAATCAGATTTAACCGCGTGACTCATCATCCGAAGGAGCGCCCGGGCGATACCTGGCGCGCTCGCGTTTTCGTCGAGAACACGGTGCGCGAGCCCGAGGAGGCCGGACTAAAACGGCGGATCCACGAGAGGAACGAACGCGTTGGGAAACGACGACAAGGCCGACACCGACACAGGTAGGCTAGTGGAGCGGTACTCCAGGTTGAAGTCGAGGGCTACACGCGTCGGCATGTCCTGATCCACGATTAGGACACGTCGATCGATCCGGAATTAACGCCCTCGCGAGAGAGACCCACGAGCTGCGACAGGACCATCGATAGCCTAATAAATGTCACTCGCAACGATCGATCGGCGCCTTTTGCCAGCCATGACGTAAAGAGAGAGAGAGAGAGAGAGAGAGAGAGAGAGAGAGAGAGAGAGAGAGAGAGA